TCTAACAAAGAGCCAGCTACAAAGAGATCTAAAAACATGACCTTCGTCGTGCAATCTAATGCGCATGCGCTAATCATCATCAGCTGGATGGCCAACGGCAAGTGCTGATTCGACCGCCATATCACCATCTTCTCACCCGAAGGAAGGCTCTACAAGTCGGTATGCAGTCGTACACACCTTTAGCTAGCTACGGAGCCTTTCTGACGATGTATGTGGTGCTCAAGCCAGTTCAATTGCACAATGGGGTCACGTGTGCTCCCTCTCCACACAGAGTATGCATTCAAGGCGGTAAATCAGGGCGCACTACTCACTCGGTGTTCGTGTGCCGACTCAGCAGTGGTCATCACTCAGAAGAAAGTGCGGTAAAAATGAGCAGTGTGAACCCCATGCATCACGTGTGTCGTATCTACCCCTATATTTAGGACAAGCTGTTGGATCCCGACAGTGTCAGTCACCTGTTCAAGATCACTGATCATGTCGGCTGTGGGGTGACTGGAATGATCGGTCAGTGAGATGTACACTCTCCATTACATATAGCAGCTGTCTTCTTGCACATTGACATTCGTCAAATTGGTTAGCCAACTCGATAAAACCTCCACCTGTTAGTCTTGCAATGATATTATTATGATGCATCAACTTGCTGCAGCTTATTGGCCATAGTTGTTAGTCTAATGTGAATGATAGTATGTAATGGATTTCTTATGTACCTACCCCCAGCGGACAGTCGTGCTCAGGTCCAGCGAGCCAGAGCCGAGGCTGCAGAGTTCCAATACCGCTATGGCTACGAGATACCAGTCGACACTCTGTGCAAGAGGATGGCAGACATCTCCCAGGTCTACACCCAGAACGCCAACATGAGACCACTCGGTTGCTGTAAGTCTCACTCAAGAGTCTCAAAATCTAGCCATATTATTCATAAGGGTATTAATGGAAGAAAGTGAGGAAGTGTGCTCTATATAGAAAGCATTGCAAAAGTATTTCATAACGGTGGGTATGAGTGTATTACACACAAACTATGGAAAATCTGTGTGTTTAGTAGTAGGCAGGACTGCACACTTCTACAAAGACTTTTATCCCTAATCCCATACCACAAGAAAATTTGCAGTCTGCATGTTTACTAGTCAGAGCCACTGAACACTTCCCAAAAGAATTTCCCCATAACCCCCCTATCCCCTCTCATTAGGCATGGTATTGATTGCCGTTGACGAGGAGCGAGGGCCTCAGGTGTACAAGACGGACCCGGCCGGCCATTACTGTGGCTACAGGGCAGTCGGTGTTGGTCCCAAACAGACCGAGGCCAATAACTACATGGAGAAGAAGATACGCAAGAAACCACAGTGGAGCTACGTGGAGACTGTCGAGGTTAGTCGAGATGACATCCGTACTGCTTATACCATTTCTTGAAAATGAAGGAGGGAACTTTCAGTACGTAAGTCATCTGCAATTCCAAGTCCACAAAATTTCAACAATTTAATGAAATAGTCATTTACATAGTACATTTTTGTGACAATAAGGGAATTTGCTGATGATAATTATGATGCTTTTGGTTGTGTGCAGACTGCCATCATGTGTCTGTCCAGTGTCCTGTCTGCAGACTTCAAGTCCAGTGAGATTGAGATTGGTGTCGTCACTAAAGACAACACAAAGATTCAGGTCCGTCTGTCGCTTGTTGATTTTTTTGGTGTAAATGAAACAATTTTTCGTGCAGGATTCTCTCAGTGGAGGAAATTGATGAGAGATTGGCAGCTATTGCAGAAAGGGACTAGTGTTAGCCTACACTCTAGACTGACAGTTGTTCATTGTGTCGTGTATTATACCTCCTGTTACCCGATTGCACAATATGTGATTGCACGTGCACACACACTGCACAAGCATAATTTGTGGTGCAGCCAGATAATTTGCCCAAAACTCTGCTAAACACAATGTGAAATACGAAGCATGCAGCAGCAGTTTGCAGCTGAGACCATAATAACACACAACTCAATAACAATTACAATCCTCACTGAACAGATACACTGATTCTAAATTTAAGACAGTCGTTCAGCAGGTATTGTAAATTGTCTCCTGTCTTCTCCAGGACAGCATACATGATTAAGGACTCATTGATATCCTTCTCAACTCTGTCCCCTTTAGTAAACTTCAGTGCTATACATCTTTGCAGGTGGTTATTGTTTCCAGCCTGGTTGAGTAGCTCTAGTGTGACAAAGACCTTCACTGGCCATGAGAGTTGGTGGTCGTTTTCTCCTTCCACTAAACAAAGATATGCCCCGATATCATTATACTATCCCCATAATATCTAATAAGCAGTTTAAAGGCATAGCCGCCATTGTGAGAATAAAACTTGTCACTCAATGAGTCCACTAACCCCTTCTCTTTAGCGTTCTCTTTGTTATAGCGATAATTCCTGAACTCCAAAACCTTGCATCCAGAGCATAATGTATGTGTGTCTATGTGTTGAACACAACTCTCCACCTCTTCCTTTACTACAGCATTAAGTGCTTTCAATTCTTCTTGTATCTTCCTGTCCCTCTCAGCGGAGTCTTGTTGTAGCTGTACTATCTTCCTGTCCCTCTCAGCGGAGTCTTGTTGTAGCTGTACTATCTTTCTGTCCCTCCGCGGAGTCCTTCTGCAATTGTTCCAACATCTTTCCTCGTTCGGCGGACTCCTGCTGCAGTTGTCTGGTGAGACGGAGGTTGAGAGCAGTCATGGCTGTCAGGTGTTGCAGCTCACTCTCTCTCATGTGTGCCGCCAGCTCCCTGCGAGGGACCACGACACTACACCCAAACTCCTTCATCTCGCAGGCCACGGGCTCCAGTGGACACACACTGCGATGTTGCGCCACCCCACACCTCTCCACCCTGCCCACCTCACAACCATTTGGACAAGGCTCAGGGAACTTAGAGCACTCTGGCCAGTGCTTTCCCTCTCCCTCATCATACGTACACTTGAGCCCGCAATACTCGCACTCCCACGGCCGCTTCTCGCACGAGACCGTGTGTCGTTTCAACCCGTTCACCTCCCCCACCCACCCACACCCAGAGTTGAGGCTCGAGAAGCAGCTCAAGAAACGGGAGACAGAAGAATCCTGTGCGACGGTTTCGCTCCACGAAATCAAATTCTTTACATCGGAAAACACAGAGGCTAGATACTTCTTAGGCGGCCCCGTACGGCCCCGTAAACGGCGGGTGGGGATGAAGGTTTGTTGTACCGCCACTTGATTGCCTCGCCATTTGTTGCCTCGCCCGGCCCTGCCACAAGACGTCGCCATTCTTTGTGTGTACTGTATCTATTATATACACGCATGCGCTGCAATTATTTTGGACTTCGAGGAAGGGTGGCTCCGCGAGGCATCATGGCCGGCACTCCTGCTTCGAAAGTGAAATCCGGTCTTCTACTCGTGTCCACGACACTAACAACAAAAAAAAAACTTCTGCCAGAAGACAGAAGAAGCACTGTCCCGACAAATCGTTTGCCGCTCGCCACTCCCCACAATGTTTGCTTGCCAACTGAGGGAGCACTCTCGGTGACCGCCGTCCTCCCGAACCCACGTGGACTCACTGTCGCGGACTTCGAGGGGAGCGAGCCCGTGTTCTTCTGCTTGGCTCGCGTACGAGCTGGAGGCCCGCTTCGCGCCAAATCGTTCATGAGACTCCTCGAAAGAGCACGACCAGGACGCCGTATACGAGTTTTCGACAAAATAGCGCTGCTCGCCACCGGCGCGCGGCGAACCGTGTCAGCGAAGAAAACCAGGTGGAAAAGTGCGACGCTACAGGTGTGTGTAAGAGGGACTCCTTAGAGGGAAGAAAGGAGGGTCAAGAAGACAGCGGGGCAGGGAAGGATACCGCTCGGATTTGCCAGTTTTGCAGCGTGCAGAGCGAGTGGGTGAACGCGTATCTCACGCAGCTGAGTGGAGAAGGAAAGGGCAGGATGACAGAGAAGAAACTGGGGGAGCCAGGAAGGAACAACGTGGAACTACCAGTGACATGGAAGGTTGTAAAGCTATTAGATTTTTTAACAGTGTGTAATGTTGTAATGGGCATATTATTTCCAGATATGGAGGAGGAAGATGACGAAT